TTCTTCCGCCATCCAACGCCCCGTTTGTGATGGGTCAACCTCCATCAGAGTCCTCAAATCCTCGTCCTGGATCACTGTAAGTCGACCACTTCGAGGATCATCTTCGTTATTAAAATCTCTGGAACGAAATATTGAAAACCAACGTCGAACAGTGCGTTCATTAACACATCATTGCCAAATGCCTGGTTAAGTTTCGGCAGCGCTTCGGGTAATTTGAATTCGTAGTGAAAAATTGGCCGAAAATCGCCTTACATCATATAGTAATAAGTTGAAAAGAGGCAAAAAATGAACATCATCAATGTATAGAGTACAAAATTCTCTATCGATCTGTATATACCACGACACAGTAGAATAAATATTTTTTGAGATATGAAGCTACAAAAACAAAAGACATTAAAAGTGACGAAACTTTTGAAACAGCCTGATAGCTTACAGAGCGTTTTCCAATCTAGCACCTACTTGATCATTATTGATGTCATCGAGCAATACTTAAATTATCACAAGGCATTTGTCTATCATAAAACACTATTTAATGTGTCTGAAGACTCTTTCAAGGAGAGATACATACGTTCTAGAAAATAAATATTCTAGTACGTATGTATCTCTCCTCGACAACAGTCTTCAGACACGGTTTTATCTCTGTTAGGGTATGGGCACATGGGATGTTTCTTTCACCCTTGGGGCTTTCCTTAATAGCACACAACATCCTCGGAACGTTCCATTTAGGTCCATTTCTCGTTAAGATGTCCATGGACTATAAATGTACGTCCCGTGGATGTCAAATAGTGGACATTGATAGGAGGTACGCCACGAACGTCCATTGTATGTCCAGTGTACACATATGCGTACGTTACATTTACCAGGTATGTGGAACATTAATTTGTCTCTGGTTGGTAGAACGATGTCACAGGATCCAACACTGGGAACGTGTAAATGGCGAACGAACAAAAAATCACGGCAATAGCACAAAGAGGTGTCCTTTGGAGAATAGTTGGAATTTGGGAGTGTACCAGTGTAATGCCACAGTAGAAAGCTAAATTGTGTGTTTAGCCTTACTGTAACTTTCAGTTGAATTGCTAAAAACATCAAGGTTTTCTTTTTTTTGAACTTTGTGAAGTTTAANGTCAGAAATATATCCACGGAAAAAATCCAAATTTTATTTCAAATATAACCTTTTACGTCCCAATGACGTTAATTGAACGTCAACTGAACTAAAACTGTAGTCCTAATATGAATCATTCTAATCCAACAGATGTCCAGGAAGGACGTGCAGATGATGTCCATGCGGACGTTCAGATGATGTTCATCGTCAGGACATTTGTACGTCCCAAGAATGTCCATAGGATGTCAATTGCACCAAAACTGTATATCCTAGGGACGGAGAAGACATTGGAATAACGTCCATGGGTCTAAGTTGTGCTATTAGGGTTGTTCACGGTAAGGGAGCCAGGCTCCAACCTGACTGAATTCAAGATGAATTTCGGAGATGCAGCTGTTAACTAGTTAACAGTATTTATTTTAGACGAAGATTTCATTCATGCAATTGAGTCGCTTTGAAATTAATCGAGTGCCGCTACATATATGAAACCTTTGCTGTCTGGGTAGGATCTTTCCTGCACTGATGAGAGGTAATACTTCGAAACCGGGCTGTAAGCGATCTACTCGATTAATTTCAGTATTGTCCTGCTGCTGTGAGGTATCTTGCATAAATTTCTGTCGAACATAATTCAATATCCAGCGTAGTTATAGCCAGGAAAGTAGTTGTTTTCCGGCAACCATTTACCAAGCTAAATGCCTGTCGGTAGTTGGGAGAGATGAATATTTCGAAAAAAAAAATCCAAAATATTTATTTTCTAGTACTATTTGATGTGTTTATGAAAACTGAAAACCAACGATACATAATTTTTCCTATGATATATTTTGATTTATTTGAAACTACCGTTGAGGTATCAAATACGAACAAAAAAATATGCACCAGAGGTGAGCCAGTCGAGTTCAACGTCACATAAATGAAAAGGACAGGTCCCAGAACCCAGCCCTGTGGCAATCCTGTTTCAAATCTCTGAATTTCAACTAATAGTATACCTTCTTGACAAATATTTCATTGCTACATATTGCGCTACTGAAAACGATCTGAATTACTCTGTAGTTGCCTGTAATGAGGAATGTTCCTCAATTTGTGTTATTACAACAAATGCAAGTTTGAACAAAATAAAGTTGAGTTTAATTCATGAGTTTTTCAATTTCACTTCGAAAAGTATTCAAATTGATGTTTCAAATGTTGGGTTTTAATTTTTAAAGGGATTTGTTTCTAATTCACATTTGAAAAAGCTAATGTTTTAGCGAAACATGTTATGATTATTTTCAATAAAGTTAGTGGAGATCAAATCGTTTAAGTGTAGTTTGTGAAATTACAATAAGAAATTAAATTCCAATTTTCTGACTACAAAGATGGGGTATTTCAGTTATTCTTTCAAAATTAATCAAATGTAAATTTATTCGAATAATTTGCCTGGTAGATTCTCTTTCATTTTCACCACTGACCAATTGATATCTGTATCAGGTTTAGCAATTGCATGATAGTTACATAAAACACTTTCGATTTCATTTGTTACATATACATGGTACGTGACAAATTCTCATAATGTTAGTTCGTAGTTTTAACCTTCCATTTCACTGAAAACGATGTTGGAAAGTAGGGCGTGAATCGAAGGATTGAAGAGCGTTGATCAATGTTTTTTCATATATTACTTCTTCATCATAGGAAATGTCGAAAATTTATATTTATTTTTTGTGTGGTTATTCAAACAATTAACATTTTTATTTTATTAGCATTATGTCACACAATAGAGGTCGCACTGGCATCACTACCCAATGATCACTTTTCACAGCGTGAGGAAAGTAATCATAAGGTCCGGGAGTCGTGTGCCTTGAGAGAATGTAATAAGACTATGATCCCTCTGGCAGACTCTTAACAATCAAAACAACCGTTTCAACAGAATGGTCTGGGAAGAGTCTGCAGAGTTGAAAATGATATATTTCATCCGTTTTCACTTCTATTTCAGGCGATATTCGTCTGTCCTGAAGCTAAAAACTCCACGTGGAGTATCTCGCTTTGATGGTCGACGAGGACTATATTTATTAGAGACTAGTACTATGTTGCTGGTTGCTGTATCGCTGATGTTTCAATGTTTTGACAGAATCAGAATCAACGAACTTGGGCGTGCGCAGCGTTATAGAACAGTGCTTAAAAAAAGTGTTCTACAGCGCCATCTAGTGGCGAGTTACAGAAAAATTGATAGCCTTAAAACCTTCTCTATGAAAAATTACTTATACTTGTCAATTTTCATCATGATCGGTTGAGCGATGTAGAAGTTTATCACTTACCAACCAACAAACATCCATTTTTATATAGTAGATAGTATCAGTCTGAGTAAGGAATTAATAGTTGAAAAAAATTCTGCACATCTCATTTCTTTCAAAGCATACAATAATTCTAGGGAGCATAAGGAAACAGGGGTGTCTCGACAATACCTCAGGAGTGCCGAAAGTGGTAACAGAGCAGGGCCGCGTTATGTCGATGAATATATGCTGAGTATTCCGGTCATCTTAGTGAGTTCACCTCAGAATCTAGGGGGGGCTATGCCCCATGTGGTGAGTTCAGAGGGCGGCCAAATTTACACTGCATAGACGAACGGACAACTCATCATTTCTCCATCAATGTCTAATTAGAACTACGCAGCACCCTCCATTTGAATTTCTGATGATTTAGATATTGGACAATGTCGTGACCAGCCTTATGATAATGGGTACAATATGGCTGACATCTATAAAGAAATACAAGCTAGGATTACAGAAAGGAATGAGCTGGCCGAGTTTGTACCGTACTTGGCTTACCCATTGAATTTTGTAGGTGTTCATTCTGCCTCATCATACCAGAAAGCTATTTAACCTATTTGGACTGATTCAAAAAATATATAGCTGTTTTGTTGGCTGTACTACTAGGTGGAAAATTATGAGAAAATATGATAAAACTATTAGAATCGAAGGGGTTATATTTTTAGGAGTGATTAATTTTTGTATTTTCTATAATGTTATCCAATTTGGTACTGAAGAGCCTTGGGGCAAGTGTCTTAAGGCGAAACATCGGTGTATACCAGTGAGGGTGACAGTGTTCCATGTAAGTGCAATTTATTACCATTCATTCAAAGTAGAACTCATGTAATTTAAACGTCTACAATATTGATTTCGAATAGAAATAGCGAAAATTTTAATAATTGCTTACACCCTACCATATGTAGCTTTTGAAAATACTATTAGGATGTCAAAATGCAAGTTCATTACGAGTTCATAGCTGAATATCTCAAATTTCGAGATACTTACCTGATTTTCACCAAGATAAATGGACCATGAGACCGCATATGCTGGACATGAAAAAGCATGTATCGGTCACCTCAGGACAGCTTCTGCACCACTACATTACTAGTAGGACGGCAGCCTGGTGGATTGACGTGGGTGGTTTGCTCGACTCACTCAGTCGACCGCTGTGTGAACCGGTGGTTAGTGCCGCAAGGCCAGACGATCGATTTTCACTTCCTATCGTCCAACCCGTTATCGTCATACGTTAAAAGGTAAGAACTCGTTAGTCCTTAGCTCGCATAAGTTTCGACTTTTGAGGGTTGTAGTTCGTAGGGGGGCACAGGTGGTTAACGGAAAAACATATTTTAACATCACGTCACTATCCAAAAAAAAGTCGATATTTCACCAATTTCGTACCGTATGAAACAAAATGCCAAATTCTTCAATTTCAGCAGTATATTTTTTTTTATTTGTATGAATTTCGTTTGTAATGAAGTTCAAACAACGGAGTTAATATTTTTTACAGGTGTACTGTATTCTAAATCTACACAAGTCAATATTTTACAGTTGACTTTTTATTCGATTTCAATTTTCAATGAAAAGTGGTGTCAGCAGTGGGATGATTTGAAATGAAACTGCTGTGAATATCGGTATTCTATATTCGTATGATTTGATTATGTTTCAAAGTTGAAATGAGAAATGGAAGATACTAGTTTTAATGCACTATATATTTTGCACCAATGCTCAGTCTCTTATGATATTTAATAAGCTCGACATAATCGTCATTTGCAATTCAGTTTTCTAATCGATGGGGCATCTCAATTTCACTCCTTCATATACCGCCCTTATCCATATTCCTACTGCGTGAGCCCCAGGGTCTGGGTATTTCCAGTTATCTCTCTTGGTAGCCTGAGCAGCCTCTTCGGCTGCAGAAACTCCCTTGCCAAATGCATAGATAAAGTGATTTCCCTGTTCCAGCTCTGCTCGAGTGCTCCTGTTGCAAGCGCAAATAGGATCGTACATAGTTCCATCACCGTATTCGATATTACCATACCTGAAACGTATTTGTGATTTCTATTCATTCATTCATTTGGGTCTTTCAAACCAAATGAAAACTTTACTGGAGTTAATGTATAATTACTGATACTTGTTTCTCATTCACCCGTGTTAAACAAAATGGTACCTTTTGAGAGCATCTGCCGATGATTCGAACGATTTCAGCCATATAAACGGAGTAACTTCTGTGGTATCTGAAAAATCATTGAAAACTTTGGCTGCTGCCTCAAAGAGGATACTATATATGCATCCCATGGTGCCACCCACATTCGACTCCAACAACTTGCTCAACGATTCGAAGAACGTGAAAGGGTAATTTGTTATTATCTTATCCTGCCTCAGTCTTCTCAGTAGGACTTCGCAGGCCTGCTTCAGTCTTGTGCCGGTATCACCATCACCTTCATTAGAACAACGAAAAATTACATTCTCTTAAAATTTTATTGACTGCGAATTATATTCATTTTTTACAAATAATTAACATGGCTAACAAATATTTATGTCAAATATTAGCTGATGAGAAAAAAATATATATAGACATTTGAAATACGTTTGCATTAAATAAACAGCTTGTCAAATCTGGGAAGCGACTTCAAAATCTCGGCTTAGAACCTCTCCGAAGATGCTCGTGGTAGAAAACCCTTGAAGATGATCGGAGCTCAGTCTTAACGACAATCTTGTAGTGTCCACTTCGGTGAAGTGGTCAAGCGAGAGGAGTGATTGCTAATGTATTATTTTTCATGCAACGAGAAGCTGATAATGGCATAACCATGGACCTGAAAAAAAGTTCAAGAGCGTTGTGTTGTGCAAAAGCGGCGAGTGTAGGATTGGGTAGCATTAAAGTAATAGCTCGTGAAATGAAAATTGAAAATGGTGAGTCATTCTTTTTTTCAACGCCTAATAAAAACAGACATACAAAAGCATGCATCAAAATCAGATTTTGATGATTTCGATCAATTATTACATTACTGAAAAAAATTCCCACCTTACGCCGCATACATTAAAAATTCGTTGACAAAAATGATTACAAAGGATCTTATGAGTCTCTGAGGAATATGATGAAATAAATAGGGTTCAAATGAAAAAAAAAATAAAAATTGCGCATGAAAACCCCGGCGATTCGGCAATTGCGAAAGAATGTTCTCAGAGACATGAAGAAATACCATGAAGAAGATCGAACAATAATTTATATGGATGAACATATATCCATGCTTCACATACACATGAGAAGAGTTGGTATGATAATTTGAATGAAGAGTTGCTTGCACCAATTTCAAAATGGCAGAGACATAGAATTGTGAATGCAGGAAGAGAAAATGGATTTGTGAAAAATTTATATCCAAAATTCAAAACCAACAAAAAATCGGGCGACTATCATAGCGGAATGGATTACAAAAAGTAGTTGCAAGAAATTTGAATTCCCAATCTTCCAGAAAAAAACGTTTTGGTCTTAGACAATGCCCCATACCACAATGTTCAGTATGAAAAGTGCCCAAACATGTCCTCGAGGAAACATGAGATGAGATGGTTAAGACCACGGAACATTCATTTCACGGGTGATATGCTAAAAATTGATCTCTATTCCATTATTAAAATCCATAAACCACGATTCAAGTTGTATGAAATTGATAGGATTATGGAAAATCATGTACATATTGTACTCAGATTGCCTCCTTATCATCCAGACTTGAACCCAATGGAATTAGTAGCATCACTGAATCATTACGTGGCTGATAAAAATTTGGACTATAATTTCATATCCGTTGAAAGTTTATGTGACGAATTCCACACTTCGTTTTCTCAAGAGCAGTGGAAAAAACGTTGCGAACACGCTAAACGTTTCGAAGAATTTTATGCTTCGAATGAATTTGCTCTTGATTTCGCAATAGACGAAATTATTATAAATGTTCAAGGTGATAGTGATAACGATAGTATCAGTGAGGATATTGATAACTCCAAAAGCGATTCCGATCTGTCTAGAGTTGAACCGTTGTAATTTTTTTATCATAACTTCAATTATATTTTTGTTTGGATTTATTTATCTTAATAAACCCGAAATTGAATGCAATATAGACTGCTGAAACACAAACTCATTTAAATTCAATTAACTACTTGCGGCGAGGACTGTACTCTTAGGCCACTCTAAAACCCAAATAGGCGCACCAATTCGCACTGTAGATTTCATCCTTTTCTATCCTAATGCGTTCTCTGCCGGTAGTGTACGCAGGTGGTGATATGTTACAAATCGCTTTCTAGTTTTGACAAGCTGTATCTAACACATCATAAATCGAACTTTTATTTTAAGAAAGTTGTCACAATGGTAATCAATAATGGTTTAGCCGTGCTCTTGAGAAGGAATGGGGTTGTTTGACGACCAACCTTCATCACCTGTGTGAACTTAGTTCAAAAGTCGGAGAACTGAGTGGCTCTTTTTTTATCCTTTATTACAGGAAGGACAGTTGGGATCGTTAAGTCGACTTAATTCTCTTCTGTAGACTCAGGTTGGGGCCTTAAGGCAAGCTGGTTTGATTATCAGTCAACTGACTGTTTCATAAATTCAATTAATTAGTAAAGTTTATATTGATGTTGAGTTGAATTTTGTTTTAATTTTGGAAAATTATGGGAATTGAAAAAAAAACTAGGAACCTTTTCCCCGCTGATTCGTCCCTCAGGTGGCCGGCGCTAGACGCCCGTGCCGTGGAAGGGGTAAGAAGCGGAGGAGTGGGGGTACCCTTGACAGCAGGAAGACATCCCGCATCAAGGCCTACGGAATAGGCAACCCTGGGCAATAGCGGTTATACTATACTCTGGTTCGGGGTTTTGGTTACTTCGTGGTCCATGAGGGGACCCACGATTAGCTACGTAAAAATGTCCATTACGGCAGAGCCCCGCATTACCGTGACAAAGCATTCTACAAAGGCGGTTCAAACATGATACAGTACACGCCACGGCTGATGGCGAGCGATCGCGCAGGTATAGCCTCTCCCAACTAAATGACTATTGGATTACGATAAGCCCCTTGCCGGCCAGTGTCGTAACTATAATTTGTTTTAATTAGGGTAGCAAATGGAACTAAACTAATTTCTTTTCATATTTTATTTACTATTATAGGTAGTAGTACAGTTCATTAAAATGTTATATAATGATACACTTATCCTAAAATAAACTTTAATCAGTAACTATCTGAATACAAATTTTTCTTCATCTTCACTGCTGTTTGTGTTGGTGCTGCTTTCGTCATTCAACTTGAAAGTTACATTCTTTTGGGATACGTTGTTTTTGACAGTAGCCAAAACGAGTTCAATGGGATTCAAATTTGTATGGTAGGGTGGAAGTCGCAAAACGTTATGTCCGTGTTTAAGCAGAACCTCATCAAATTTGTATCTAATATGATGCTTTTAATTTACCTTGATCAACTCGAATAATTCGGGTTTGAGCATGTTAGAGGTGAACATAATACTTTTTTCGTGCAGCCACTTCAACATGTCAGCATTCCTAGAATTTGTGTTGGGTCTGGATTAATTTGAATATTATGGTATGGAGCATTATCGCTCACGACTACCGAATTCACAGGTAAATTTGGGATTCACTTTTCTTGTATCCATTTACCATAACTTTCAGAATTCATTTCTGAATGATAATCCCCTGATGTTGTACCTTATTTAAATATAAACTGACAATCAGGTATAAAACCCATGTCGTCACCTCCTGCATAGTCTTGGTCTTGCTCCCTTCACAATATTGTTAAATAACCCTTTGGCTGATTCATCCGTCCAGTTCTGGGAAGATGTATGTTCACTATGAAGATACGTTTCATCAAGAAGCACACGTGGTCGCTGTTGGCTACGAAAATAATTGATTTTTTGTAAATACTTGATTCTCAATGCTCTAATGTCCATTTTCTCTATTAGAATTTTTCTATTATTTTCAGTCCTTCTCCATATGAAACCTATTTTCTTCAAAATTCTATGAAGAGAAGTTTCGGAAGCCACAATTCCCAAAACGTCATTAATTTTGTGTTGGCACTTTTTTATCGTAATACGATACCCTGTCGTCTTATGAAAGTCGTAAATAATCCGTCTAATATTGGAATACTCATACTCGGGAATGTTAGCTACTGGTGCTCTTCTAGGCCGTTTCTTTCTTGGCTGGAAAATTTTACTTCTTCGTTATTTGCATAAGTTAATTGCTCCCCTTCTTTAACCACTCTTTAAATGGTTCTTATTGAAATACCTAATATAAAATAAAGATTTGTGTTGATATAGTTAAATTTTAAATTTATTTAATGTCACCTGTAGCGAGCGATGTTTTATTTTTCACATTTGATAACGTATCCGACTCACTTTTAACACTTTGAAAATAATTGAACACTTTTAAAATTATTTCACGTGCCCGACTCTTGATGACAGGTTTTTTGTTAGGCGACAACATTTTTTCAGAAACAACACAAATTATTCAGACAATGCTAAACGCCAACAGCATTGGAGGACAAGTAATGACACGCCTCTGTGCACAGCATTTGTATGTCTTGCAAGAGCTGTAGTGAGGGTCACATTGAAAATGAGTTTGTGTGCATGGGGGCGAGCTCGCCATCACGTTTGGCTCTTGCTGTAAGTTAAGCTAATAAGGTTAAATTGTAGAACACACCTGTAGTGTTCTACACTGCAGTTTTGAACTTCGCCTCTTGGTTGTTATATTCTATGTCACCCAATAAAGACCAATATTATTATTATCATTAATATAAGGATAAGTTTACACAGCTTCTCAAAAAATCAATCAACCATTCAAAACACGTACATTTTTATGATGTTACTATTTGTGGAAAAGTCACTACATACTTTTCACTAAAAATGGCTCAACCGAAAATAAGGCTTGATGAGGAATAACCATCATGGCTTGCGAAAATCAGACTATGAATGTGTGATATTTTGAATACTCTTGCTCATATGAAGCGAATTCATTTATTTGTTATCTGTTCTACAAAGATTTCAATTCCTTCTCATGACCACCATAATTCAGAAATTGTAATCATGCCTCGTTACTCCAATAATATTTGATGCATTGAAAGACCAAAGTGTTCGTTATGTCGGCAGTAGTATCTTGTATTGGGCCCCCTTTATGGCATTTAAAAGTATGTGATAACATGTATCTAGATGAAATGAAAATAACATTTATATTGACAGCTTTGAGTTTTGCCCTGTATGAAAATAGGATTCTGTCATCCTTATACTTTTACTTATAATCTTAGATTATAAATAAATGATGACAGAAATAGTTTCAGTTTACTATTTAAGGAAATCAAAGCTGTTGTTATGAAAAAAGTACATGGCTGTTAACTTATCATATTTTCACTACATCATTAAATTCATATTTCTAATTCTAGTGTATCCAGAGAAACAGATACTTCAACAAAATATTTGTAACTTCATCTTCCCCAAAATATATAGTTGTTCACAGGGACTGCTATAACAAGGTCAGACAAAAACTATGTGGAGAAGCGTTTGATAATCAAAATGTTTTTTTCTGAAATAACCCCTCCAACTAAAATAACTGGTTTGAGCATGTGCAAAAGTGAATGGATGTTGCTTTGATATGTTTGTTATAATTTTCTAGTTATAATTTTCTAGTTTATGAAAATTATCAGTGCCATCTACTTACTAGCTTTCTCTAAACCCGTTAAGTATTTGAGCAAATCCGCGAAAGTTGATGATAAAACACTGATGCAAAAATACAGCATATAAATCAGTTTTGCCTAATCTACATCAGAAATACTTAGATTCGGCAACAAATTTTACCTTTTTCTGAATCAATAAGATCGAGTTGCTTTTCACAAGATATCAAAGCTTCACATGCAAACTGTGTCGAATACAACAGCGTATTAGCCAAAGAATCCCTCAATTTTGGGCCTCGAATTGGTGGAGACAACCGGTCCCTCCTTCTCAAATTTCCACTCAATATTTTGGTATCAACTGAGAGCTGTCCTTGCAGTCCTTGATTAACTGATCGCCAACCTGCATAGAAAATCAACCAAGGGACATCAGAAGAATATATTTATTACCTTGCTCCATCATCAGCACTTTGTATAATTTAATGTGTGCAATACGTAACCTCTCACCTGGTGCTGTGCAAGGACTATCAAGGAGAGAAAGAACGTCTTGATCTTCCACTTTCATAACAGTGAGTGACAAAGAATTTTTTCCTGGAGATTTCAGGAAATTCCCAATATAAAATCTATGTACATGAATCCCCGAACGACTCAAAACATCCATAATTTCTTTAGCATATACAAATTCCTCGGTTTTACTCAATATACCATTATTATTCAAGAGTATGACTAAATTATCTTCAGCTTTGATGACCAACTTGGAATAAGATTCAGAAGTTTCACATTCAACTGGCTCCTCTTCATCAATTCTCTTCAATAGTCGATCCAGAGCTTTCTTACAAACCTCCTGAGTAATATTCATACTCAATCTTATCCTTTTGGATCCTGACGAACTACTTCCTCCTAATTTTGTGACGCATATACATTTATTTACATAACTCTCTATGTACTCTTCTATATCCATTTCAGTGCTAATGATATTAGGCAAATATTTTTTACAAAACATGAATATATCAGTTAGAGGCAAATCTTGTTCAGACATTGCTCCTGCAATCTTGCTTATTAATACAATGCCACTAAGACCTCTTGAACAGGTTTTTGGTAATTTTTCGTTATAAACATCATCACTGACAGTAAGTAATTTTACTCGTAAATTATCATTCAGGGCTCTTTCCGTTGCCAGGCCAAAATTGAGAAAATTTCCAGAACTTGCACGAACAATTACCAAGATTCCTTTCACGTGATTGTAACTCAGTTCTCTCAGGGTACGTAAAATAATTTTCGAAGAAGGTGCCACGAAGTTATCTCCTATGTAAAAGGATTTATAATAGTTTTTAATTTTCTCCAAGAATCATGTTTACCTTGTGCTGCAGCTGTTAACATCCCTATTCCAACAAAGTCTCCCATGCAATAAGGCCCCCCCGACATAATTCTAACTTTATTAGAATCGAAATAATTTTTTTGTACTACTACATTTCCAAATTCGAATAAAGCTGTATCCTGATTCAAAGTTACTAGACCCGTTAAACTTTTTCTCACGATGTTTTTTATCGAGGTACTAGAGAGTTTTAAATCCATTGTAATTGTGAGATTTGACTGAACGTTGAATATTTCAATTTACATTTTTATATAAAATAAACAAAATTTACAAATACAATACAAAAGTTAGTAAAGTAAATAAACTTAACACATCAAAAAACTTGTAAGAGAAAATAAGGTTTACACCAATTTGACCAACATAGAAGTTTTAATTTCGAATTTAAACGATAACTGTAGCATTCTTGTATTAGCCAATTTTTATAGTGATCATTTATCATTCATTACAAAATTGTCTTCAATATATCAACATTGAAAGTAAACAAGATTATTTAATTCGGTAAAATGTCACTCTTGCAATGCATATTTTGAGTGCTTATATTTCTTGGTTCCTTTATAAAAGTTTACATTGACACACAAAGCATGTACAGAAGTTAAACATTAGTACGAAAATAAAAATTGGGTGGCCACCCTGCGTGTGGTTCTGGTATTTTAAAATCAAATGTCAACTTGTCAACCCTAACCTCACTTCAATTTGTTTTGGTTTGGTTTGATATTTTGTCCGCAATTTTGATTGGAAAAGTGAACCAGAAAAGCTCATTCGTCTTTGAGTATAAAACAGTCCCATAAAAACTTTTTGTCCTTCAGAAAATCATGAGCAAAGCAGTAAACTTACGTGTTCAGTTGCAAAATGTTATAGTATCAGGAGGCTCTCACAAAGACCAAGCAGAAAAGTAAGTATGAAACTATAGTGTACATATATAGATATATACTTATGAAATTCTCAAAAGTTATTTGTTTGGTAGGAAACAGGAAGTCAAAACTGATGATATATTATGTGACTTGGAGTCCCACAAGGTACCGTATTCGGACCACTTCTATTTAATTTTTACATAAACAATATGTTCCTCATTAAAACTTGTGGTGGAAATATCAGATTTGCTGATGACCTATCCGTGTTATACAAATATCATCCTGGCCAAGTCTGAAAGGAACGTTAACGTTTTCTCTAGTTTCTTTTTATAAGGTCTATGTTATAAAAGACACCAGACAACTCTTCTATCGAGGACAAAGAGTCAACAATAAAATAATAGAACTATTGGTCAAAGAAACACTACTTAGAATAGAACGAATTTATGTAGCCCACGAAATTTGAACTTTCACCTTATTTTTTGAACAATCCACATATATTTTTAACACATTCAATTTGATTCGATGGATATATTATTTTATGTAACCACATTTCTATCTGTGGTGTATTGAATATATTTTCAATAAATTGATTGATGTAGCCGATACTACGTGGTGGGAGATCATCATAAAAAATGAGAAATGAAACTTTCTATGTTTTTGACCTCTCGATTTTTACTTCCTATCATTTA